ATTCATATAGCCAATTTACCTACAACATTCTGTGCTCTCGGTTCCTCCTATGATTGGACGGCAACTACGATGCTAACGAAATTTATTAAAAGTTAATGGTCCGAGTTCAAACATCACGAGTACTATGGCAGAGGACGCGAGACTGGGTATGTTCCACAAGGTCCCTCTGACGCTCCGAACAAGTTGCGAAAACGAGGACAAACGAACAATAAATTGAGAGTTTAAGAGATCAGTGGTAGTAGAATGCGTGATTATGCATTCCTCAAAATATACCCAACAGTTTGTCAGATTAAACTTTTCAAAAATGCATCATTAGTTCCAAACTAAACGCGAAATAGTCAGACGAATCTGAATGTAATAATAAATAGTTTTGGCAAGGTCTCTCGAAATACATAAAAAATATTCTCGTTTCTTACATTGAGAATAAATGAGTACAACTAAATCGTTGATATTTCACAAAAAAATGAAAGCGAATCAATTTCTTCACAAAATTTAGCTGACTGACCTGCTGCGGCGATAGCTTGCATGACGATGGATTTTGGTTGATTTCCAGTTTGATTATGCTTTGCGACTGTCTGCGTCACTTCAGCCATACATGACATTTTCTCCATCAAAAGATCATTCAAGCTCACCGACAGAGAATTACCAGCTAGCTGAGTGGAGAGCTCGTGGAGGCTGGCAGTCAAAAGAGTGGAGACCAGCTAAGTTACATTTTGAGAGGAATAAAGGACAGTTAGGACATATGCGGAATAATAAACTAAAATGATTCGAAAAACGTTAACGGTCACAGATAAACATTCAGTAGTATGTAAAGCAAACTTCCAAATACGTTAAGATGGCCATCTATAGGTACAAGAGGGACATCAAGTTGGTCAAGGGGATTGTCTTTATTTGTCATTTTGACGGGTGGTAACTAAGTGCTAAGAATAAGCCTCCCTCTGACGATGTCAACGAAATATCTGAAAATGTACCATTTCAACGCTATGGTGGTGTAAATCATGATGGATACTATGACAAAAGACGTGGGACCAGGCACGTTTCAAAAGGTCTCCTTGATGTGAAAAGCGAGATCAAACGAACACTATATAACTAAAGGAGAATGCGAACAAACAAATTGCCACACCGTCTTGGGCTCCATATCTACAGGCAAATAGTGATGTTATGTATTATAGTTACCATTTGGGGAAAGTCCTTCATTAGGATATAAGGCAATATAGCAATAAAAACGCTTGAAAGTGATTGGCATTTGCCATCGAGAGTGGTTGAAAGGTATTTAATGGTAAACAAACAAATCCAGTGAATGATACACAAAGATAAGAATTTGTAGTAGAAAGGCTTGAGACAAGTGTTTAAGAGGATATAAGAACTATTACGCG